GGAAACAAATTCAAATAATCCAAAAAGGGGTCGAGGAAAATAAGAAGTAAGGAAAATTCTGCAGGAAAAATCAAATAGGATAGACACAGCATTGGAAACTATTCAAAACCTGCAAAAAGATGCCCAGGTAATCAATAATAAGATATCAGAAATAGACAATAGCCTGTAAGGGGAAAGGAGCAGACTAGAAGAGATGGAAGCCAGAACTAGCGAGCTGGAAGACAGATCTCTCAATTCTGCCAAGATAGAAGAGCAAGCAGCTAAAAGGATAAAACAATCTGAAGAGAGTCTAAGATTCATGCTGGATAACATGAAGAGGAATAATGTAAGATTTATTGGCATTCCGGAACAAGAAGAAACAGAAATCCACAGAAGAGATCGTTGAAGAGCTTCTGAAAGAAAATTTCCCTGACATCTTGAAAGACGAGAAGATAAACATTCAAGAAGCCCAGCATACTCCAGGAAGGATAGACCCCAAAAAAACCTGTATAGGACAAGGATAGGATTGAAATAGTTTGATTTCAAACAATTTCTCTTCAAAAATTAGACTTACCTGGGAGGCAAGCTGGTGTGGATTTTTTCACCCTACGAAAAGGCACCTGAGGTTATCTCATTATAATTGGCTACTGTCCCATGGGGTTTCCAAGGCTGTAATCTTTCAGGGGCTACATCTTTTTTCCGAGTGGCTGGTGGTATGAACCACCAACCTTTCGGTTAGCAGCCAAGTACTTAACCACTGCACCACCAAGTTGTACCATTATCAGTGTTGTTGTTAAGTGCCATTGAGTCGATTCTGACTCATAGTGACCCTGTGTAGGGTTTCTGAGGCTTTTAAAATTTTTGTGGGAATAGAAAACCTCATCTTTCTGCCACAGAGCAGCTGATGGGCTTAAACCATGTACCTTGTAGTTCTCAGTCCAGTGCTTATCGTATGGAGCCACCACACTCCCCATCCCAGTATTATAGGACTATGGAAATTACTGGAGTTCTTGTGTGGTGCTGTTGGATAAGGTCAGTGGTTCAAACCCACCAACTGCTTCTTGAAAACCCTATACTGGGTTGCTGTGAATCAGAACAGACTCAATGGCACTTAATAACAACACCTTGGAAATTAATATTTTAAATTAAAATTTTAAAAAGAAAGTCAATTTTTCAATTAACAAAATTTATATCAAGAAATTTAAAGCTAAGTGCCAGATGTGGTGCTGTAGGATAAGCACTGGACTGCTAACTGCAAAGTTGGCTATGTAAATCTACCAGCTGCTCCTTGGAAACTTGATACAGATTGTTATGAATCAGAATTGACTTACCAACAACTTACCAAATTATGGGAATTTATGAGGAATCTGTAGAGAACGTAGCCTTACCCCTTTCATCTCGTAAATGAAGTGTTCCTATAGGTGGAACACTTGATGGTTTGCATAATAAAGACAAGACCCTGTGTCATCTGTTCATTTATTTCACATTATACCTATTGTATCTACTCCCTTCTCCAAGAGAAGAGTACAAGGCTGTTATAGCCACTAGGGAAGATGAGGGGCTGTAACGAGGGAGTTTTTATTCTAAACACATTGTGCAGCCATTCCACTCTTCTCCATTGTGAGGATCCACTAAAATAATTGTATCACAATTTTTTAAAATATGTAAACACACAATACAGAGATTTAGAGATTCCAGCGTCATTTTGAAAGAGCAGACAGAAAAAAGGGTGTGAAACCGAACCAGACTATGTAGATGGCAACCTGCAGCAGAATCAGTTATGCATGCAGATGTCCTTGTAGGAGAGAGGGTGGGGGATAGAAATGTGCCGGAAATAGGGTTCAATGGAAGTTTGCATATTAACAGTTGACACCCCCTTCCCCCAGCCCCACTCACCCTCCCTCTTGTGAAATGAGATGGTTTGATTTTGAAAAATTTCTTTTCAAAAAGTAAACTGTCTGAGAGACAAACTGGTATGAATTTTTGCATCCTAGAAAAGGGCATTTGGGGCTGTCCCATTGTACTAGGCTATCTACTTCTGCACAGATAAGAGAGACCAGTCATGTGTTGTGATACGCCCACAGATACTGAGCTTTTGGTGTGCTCTCTGCTGTCCCACTCTTAAAATGAGAGTAGCGGCCATGGCTCACCTGAGAGCTGAGTAAAGTTTACAGCATGATAGGAGAGCTGAAGCTAGAAAACATCCTGTAAAACCAGAGCTACGTTGTTGTCCTTGTTAAGAGCCATCAAGTCAGTTCCAACTCAGCCACCATGTATAGGGTGCCCAAGGAGCTTGAACCACCGACCTTGCAGTGCCTTAACCCGCAGCGCCATGTTAGGAACATAAAATACTTCAGAAAAAATCCCTAATTAGTATTAAAAAGAGATAGCACCTATACTATTAGAACAGCCTGTTTTTCATAAAGGAATAATTAGAAAGGTCTCTTGAAAATTAAACTATGAATGCTTAGATAAATTTGGACATTTCTCAGTATATAAAACAGAAAGCCAGAAATGAAAAATATGACCAAAATGAGGAGGGGCCACCATTTCACTACTAAAAATTCTTCTATTGAGGACAGCAAATGGTGGAGGGAAGGGAATTATTTAAAAAATAAGACATGAAAATTTCCCCATAGCTTGCAGTAAACAGGAAGCCTCAAATTGAAAAGGAAGTCCTGGTGTGGCGCTGTGGGTTAATGAGCTGGACCTCAAGGTCGGTTAAACCACAGAGTTGGCAGTTCAAGGTCACCAGCCGCTCCTTGGAAACCCTATACAGGGTCACTGTGGGTCGGAACCAACTTGACAGCCCTTAACAACAACAACACCCATGTCTTGGAGTCCTGGTGTGATGCTGTGTGCCGGGGACTAGCCTCGACACTTTGTGAGAACTCGGAGGTGGGTACGGATTCGGTGAATGATAAAAATAAAATAAAATAAACTCAGAGTCAATGGGTCATTTTGAGTCTCAGGCAGAATGGTGGTAATGGCTCTCTTCTGATGACTCCCTGCTGACTGCTGCCTTGACTGTTTATTTCAAAATTGTTGCTTCTTATATCCCATTTAGAATATACAATGATCTCATAACAGTCACATACAAGCAGTTACAAATCAATCAAATATTATATTGTTACATCAACAGTACAAGAGGAACACAAGATCACCAAACATTCCTGTGTTTCTATTCTCCTTAGTTACTCCTTAGTTACCATGATAATGTCTGCCTTCTGTGAGCGACTCTGTTTCTCTCTAATCCTCCCTAAAATGTCTAGTTAATTTTAAACAAAGTTCTACATCTTAATTTCTAACTTTACCAACATCTGTTACTTTCTATAGATTCATTAGTTACAGATTACAATCAAAAGCATAATTTTTACCATAACTGGTTATACATATAATTGATCAAATAAAAACAAGAACATAAAAGTACCCTAAAGTTTCATAGTTAAGAACAAAGCAGTAATTCTCTCATGCCAACAATTTCTCAAAACTTCTAATCAAACTCCTACTTCTGTTCCCAAGCTCTCATTGCCCTTGACTGTCTCCTAAGCTGCTTTCTAAAGGCCTTAATGTCCTTGACTAAAACCACCTGGAATGTTTCTTACAATTTTAAGCTTGAATTGCTAAAACTTTAGCTAGTGTGGTTATATCTAATGTTAAAACTTATT